AAGCTCAGGAAATTCAGCCAAAACCAGACTATCGTGACAAAGCTGTCTTTCACATGTGAGGAAAGTAGTGAGCCATTTCTCTCTATCTGTAGGTGCTCCTGAGATAGACAGTCAGGTCCGTTGGGTCACTTGGAGAAACCACATTGATTTCTAGTAGAACAGCCACCCTTAGGCAAAGTCCTGGAAAGGATCTGCTCTGTTCCAGAGGACCGCAACTCAGAGTTCATCCTGATGCCCATGGTCATGACCGACACCTGTATTCATTTCCAGGGATCCCAGGGAGAAGGCTGTTGGTGAAATGGGTCTCGATTCAGGGATGTGTTCCCTCCTGTACTTTTCAATGTAAGGTTTAGCCACTTCCCACACCTGCAAAATGAGAAAGTAAAACAACAGTCAGAAGGAAAACAAAAGGTCAGGTCAGACATCAACGCACAAGTTCAGGAAACCCTGTGGAAGAGTTACTGGGATGGAGGTGAGAATTACAGACCTACATAGATAAGCTGTGTGCAATCAGCAGAACCAGAGAGGCAGCCAGAGTGAGGTTTAGGGAAGAGCATGTGGATGGAGTTGACAGGGGATGGGAAAAGATACAGCTCCGAGGGGACAAGGTGGAAGCATTCAAGGCGAAAATGTTGCGTCTTGTCTTGTTACCAGGTTAATGCTCTGTGTGCAATTGTTGGGAGAGGATTGCTGTCACTTGCTACAAAATCACTTGGTCACGAAGGGGTCAGGGGAGCAAAATGGCAGCTGGCATGGACAAAGAAAAAGGGAAGGGATGGTGGCTGGGATTTAAGGCAGAAAAGGAAAATGTTCTACTGTTTCCTTTGTCTCTCCTCCTGTAAGGGCTGCCGGGCAAACAGCCTTCCAGAAGATGGACTGGGATTTTCTTCTCCCATTTGCTTACTCTCCACGATTCTTCTGTTACTTACATTTAACAAACAAATAAAATAGATGGATCACATAGCTGTACAAACGCTTGGCCCAGATTAACACATTTCGCCACTGCTATTCCCTCATCCACATCCCCTTTATTGCTTCCAGTGGTTCACCATGCCCAAGGGCCTCTAGGCTGAGGAGCACTCATTGCCCCAGGAATGAGGAATACTGTCTGGAGAGACCCTGATTTCTCTGGAGATCTGCAGGGGCATAGGACCCTGCCCTCAAATGATTCAAAGCTGGACCTATGTCTGTGAAACCCCCGCCAGAATTAATAATGTAAGCTATTTATCACACAGGGCAACTTTAGGAATTGATTTCTAAATCTGTCCCATTAAAACTAAGGAAAACCAAATCTTAGAAGAT